CTTCAGAAGAGATTAGCTAATTTTGGGTTGGACTGAAATGTTGATTGTTGAGAGGTTTGGTTGTGCTGCTGTAATCGCAAGCGCTTTCTTTGACTCTGTTGTTCTGGTATTTCCCAAGTGGAGTTCTTTCTGAACTAACTCCGTAGGCCTGTCTTTATTCAGAGCCCCACCGGCTTGGCTGTGTCTTAGAAGCTCATGTCACTTGTGCAGAATGTACAGCAGGGAGTCTTAGATGGTGCTGTATACTTCTCCTACACTCCGTTACGTGTACAATGGTGAATACTGAGTGACATATGTAAGAAGAAAATATACTTAATGTGCTGTGGTTTGGCTCTTTTTTTTCCTAGGTGGATGATGATAGCATTGAAGATCTTGGAGAAGTCAAGAAGTGAAAGGCTCCCTTTATTTAATGATATGGTTATCAATGATGTAGCCAAAGTGAGGCTTCGAAATCCATTTGCTCTGCAGTGAAACCACGGAGAACCCATATCCTTGGCATTTTCACTGTTCTGTATAGGCTGCTTGAGTGTTTTTTGTTGTGATACTTGCCAAAGCTAAATTGGGGTTTTATCATGCTTACACATGAGGTAGATTTAAATAAAATTACTGTTCCTCACTGAAGGCAGTTTCTGTTTTGTTTACAGCTACTTTCCTCTAACAGTCTTACAGGAAAATAAGCTCTTAATGATTTAAATTATTATTTTTCATCTGCTGTCCTTTCTGCTGAACTTAAGTGAATAAGGCATGTGGCTAATGTACAGAAACTCATCCTTCTGATCTACCTGCATGAAATTTTAGAAATCAGAATGGGACAAACATTCTAAAGGTTTGTTAACAACTAAAGGGAAATGAATCCTGAAATAGTCAGGCAGTTGGATTAGGTGATTGTTGTAGGTCCCTGCCAACTGAACTATTTTATTCTCAGTGTTTCCACTTAATAGGAACATGTGACTACGTCTGAACTGTTCAGCCTATTTGCGTAATTCCAGACGATCTCCTAACCCTGCTGATCTTCTAGATGAGGCAATTTTAGTGGCTTTTTGCTTTTAGCATACTGCTGGTTCAAGAATGGTAGTAGTTGACTTTATAGTGACCGCTGTTTGTTTCCAAATCCTGCAGCAGGTAAGGTGGGGTGCCAGCTGTACTGCTCCGCTCTCCTGTTCCTGCAGACAGCCTCAAGCTTTGTATTTCACTGCTCTGTTTAATAACATTAAATGTTCCGTGGCGGCAGGGTCCCGGAACTGACATTCTCCTGTCGCAGTAAAACATAGATGAGTCAAAACCCAAGGGGGTTGACACATTGTACACCTTGTCCTCTACCTGTGATTTTTTTTTTGTTTGTTTATAAGCTGATCGGTTTAGTCGAGAATAATAATGAGATAGCTGTATCTCTGTCGTTGTTCCATGTAAAAGCTGAGCTAGTTAGTTACCTCCATCCCGTAACATCCAGTCGGCTTTACTCCCATTAACACCGCTGTTAATGCTGACCTGTTCCCAGGCGGGGGCGGGACCTCTGCCTAACTGTCACC